TGAAGCTTTGGGTAAGTTGTACCACCTTTGTTCTTGAGTTTTTATGCTTAAAAGAGATGTCTTGGTATGTTTAATGAGCTAAACATGTAACCAACAGTTGTATGAACCTTAATGTGCCTAAAAATGCATGCTTTGACGTTTTAAAGTGTTAAAAATGGTACCTTGGAAGGATATCTTCGCGAAATACAGAAACTACATTCTGTCACGAAATATCTGGATATGGTATCCGGATATGGATATTTGGATATGGTATCCGGATATTGATATCCGGATATGGAGATCTGGATATCCGGATATTGATATCCGAATATGCCCCCCACATATATCCGGATATTCTGGGATATCGAAGAACAGTAGCTGCACTGTTCATACAGTGGGCTATTGGGGGTTTGTGGACTGTAGATTGATGAAGTTGGACATCTGTTTTAACTGAACTAAGTCAGAATCAAGTGGTTAAGGGCTTATGACTTTATGTGAAGCCTTAAGACATAAATCGTAAGAGGAAAACATAGTCTTTATGTTTATGCTTATGAGCTATGAGTGTTGATATGCTTGCTGGTCCTAATCAGATTGTGATCTTCTGTGTGTTGGACTTGAGCTGTGTGGACTCTTGGCATTGGATAGTGAGCTTGCAAGGTAAACTTTCGTGTCCTTGGTTTAGCCATGTTGTGGTTCCACCATGTCCCATGGGGGTATGGTTATATGCATGCTGTGTTACATGCTTTTGATGTTTTGGAAATGCTGTTGAGCTGTTATATGCTAGTGCCTTTATGATATGCATATGGTGTTCCACCTATACGGTAAGCCTGAGTATGTAGTACATACGATATGGTGAGGCTGTGGGTGAGGTGCAAGCGGTGTTCCTTGTACTATCTGTAAGTAATAGATGTATTCCTGCATTTTTCTGGCCAGTAGAATAGTTTAAACACACATGGCATAAATATCTGTTGCACTGCATTGAGTTTTGGAACTTATGTTGAATTACTGCTTTTGGAACTTATATTGCACATGTAAGTGAGCTTGGGGTGGAAGATCCTTGAGGACTCCTTGTCTTACTGAGATTTCTGGTTTAGAGATCTCACCCCACGTTTGGGGAATGCTTATTTCAGGTTCAGGTAATGCGGGAGTTGAGACCTCTAGTGGCAGGAGGCCAGAGCTTAGCTGGTAGATGTTGCATGTTTATGCTGCTTATACTGATATGCTGTTATGATTGGATGTTGGATCCTATTTACTGTCTTATGCTTTTAGATTCAGTTTATGGATTTCTCTGTTGAGACTCTGTTGGTTATGCTGTTGATTTGGTGAGTATGGGGATTGTCCATGCCACTTAGGCTTGTTTATGTCTTGTTTTATTTGGAGTTGTAATAATGTATCAGGATATTGTCCGAATTACGTGTTAAAATGTCGTGACTTAAATACTCACTTTATATATATTTTGAGGTATTTCAGTTAGATGTCTATTTGCATTTACATACAGGCGATGTATTTTAAGAAATTGGTTAAGTAATCAACTTGGCTAAGTATAATGACGTCATAATTGAAAAGAAAAAGCTATTCCGCATTTTTAATTAAGCGCAGTTTAATACGATGATATGTTAACAAACCGGGTATACATGGGGTGTTACACTCACAGTGTAATAACAATTAGGGGTGTAAATGGGCCAGGCTGGGTTGGGCTTTGACTTTTATGACCTAAGCCTACGTAAAAAAATATTCAGCCTATCTAACCTACCAAAGGCTTTATTTATAGGCCAAGCCTGACTTATTTTTTAAAATTAGAGAGCTTTATATGGCCTCCAGGCCTTGTAGGCCTTCCTAGTGAAATATTTTAAAAAAATTTAAAAAATATTCTTAACAATTTTTAAAATATTCACTTGACATTACAAGTCATTAACGTGTTCATAAATTGCTGCATTTTTTTACATAAGATAGAAATTTCACTAGTGAGCATTAAAATTTTTACAATAGTAAAACAAATAACAATAAAAATATACTGAGCAAAGTTTCATTCATGCATGCACTAGTACTTCTCATAATTCATAAAAAATGACAAACAAGAAAGAGTCAACATAATACACCAGCTCTATAATGTATATCATATACCCTAAAATAAATATATTATTTTATTTAAAAAATTAAATAAGCCAGCCTACAAGGCTTTAGGCCAGCCTTGACAAAATTGGCCTATGGCCTACTTGTTAAAAAGACTTTCTTATAAGCCTAAGCCTATTATACTTTGCAACGTAGGCCGGGCTGTAGGCCAGGCCAGGCCCATTTACACCCCTAATAGCAATAACATTAAATAATGCAGTAAATACATATCCATGCAGTGTGTCAAACATCTCCAGGAGACAACTCTCGAGCTCTCATGTTATCTTAAGAATACTCAGATGTAAATAGTTCTACTGACCAGAGAATCTACCAAATATGAATTATGCATTGTCATGCAACATACAAAACATAGGAAAACACCATCATATGGCACACCCAGTGCATACACGAACGTATAACAAAGCATTAAACTACTTTATTACATTTACATACACTATCAACAACCACTACCTATTTCAGGCTTGATAGAACAATAAAGAGATCAATTCCTAAGGTCCGAAGGCTTACCTCAATACTTCCAATTATTTGTTCACCAATAAGTTTGCAACCAATCAAACTTTGAATTCAAGCTATAATCTTACCAAATACACACATACACAAAGGTGTCACACAATCAATCAATATAAGTTAATGAATATCAACATGTTCATCAATAATACAACAATTCCACACCAGAACTTGGCATGAACTTACCTATTCAAGTATGCTACTCAAGCTCCATATCTTCCACCAATGGTTGGTCACTCAATGTTGGTCCACTTGCCTCAATCCTAGCAATCACATAGACACGATCAATATCAACATTCAACATTCCAATATCTAACATTTGGAATGCAAGAATACACTACACAAAGGTACCCATTTTTCAAAAATGCTATAGCCTATCCAAATGATGAACTTAACTCATTTCTACGATTATTCATCATTCTTAACAACATTTACAAAGGGATTTAACTTCAATCTAACTCAAACTCATAAAACTCACAAAATCACTATTCATTATCTTCAACCTACATTCAATTTCCATGGAAACAAGGTTGAAGGAGGGAAACTTACCACAATAGGTTACACAACCAAGGAATAGTGGTCTCCTAAGCTTCTAAGGATGAAAACGTCCTTAAACTCCTCAAATGGCCCAGATTTTCAAAATATTTGGAAGGAGATATCTCTCTCCACAAAGCTTCTCACTCAAAACCAAGCTTGGATTCACAATGAGGGAAGGATTCTAAGTGGTTTTGGCTTTGGAATGATTAGATTTGGTTGAGAATCAAAGAAGTTAAGGTTTCTCTCTTCCTCTCTTGCTCTTCCTTGCTGCGTCGAAGAAGAAGGAAAAATGCGAGTGAGTTGAGTTTTTGTCACTTAACTTAGGGTGGTTCACTCAACTGGAGAAAAACTTATCTATCTATTCACCTTTATTCACTTCCAAACTTTACCTTGTGGTCTGAAATATTTTTTTGAGAACATTTCTAATTTTACTTTTATATTTTAAGAATTTTTTCCTATGCACATTTTTACCGCATAATATTCATTGACTGCACTTTTTATCTCAAAAGTGACTCTAATTTATTTAATTAGATATTTGACCTAATTCAACCCACTAACACAAGATTAATTGCTTAATTACATACAATTAATTAAATATTATGGTGAGAGATGTTATAAAGGGTCACACTCTTATCTCCCCGTAAGGAGCACATAGACCTCCTGTTAAAAGACCTCTCGTTGTCCTGCAATCTGCATAACTCACTTGTCCTACGAGCACATAGACCTCCTATTAAAAGACCTCTCGTTGTCCTGCATAACTCACTTGTCCTACATGTCATAGGAGCAATTCCTCACACACAACAGTGAGGAGTGGGCGAAAGCATTTAGACTTCTTTTCTCTCTCATAGTATTAGCGAATATTGTTACCACACATAATGCTGCTGCGAGCACCTAAGAGATATACCTACATCCCCCTTTTCTCAGCCTTGCCTAGGATTACACCTATGTTGTCTCTCAGTCTCATGGAGCTTTGATCCATAATGCTGCTGCGAGCACCTAAGAGATATACATCGACCCTTGCGGGATTCAGACCAAGCTCCAAATTCACAGCAGTTGACTGCAGATCTTGTTCTTCAATATTGACCATCGTCTCCCTAAGGGAGAAACTGAATTGAAGCTTGGGGACAGACGCACTTGGAAAGCTAAAGATGTTGTCCATATATACGTTATGTCCTTAGTGTATATAAAGTGTGAGTGTGTGTGAAACGGATCAGGCTCCATTTCATTGTTGTTTGGCCTTTGATTTGCAAAAAGTACAAGTTCTCCCATGCATGACCCATATATAAAACAAACAAAATTGGTCCATGAGTTATGAGGGAGACAGTAGAATAATAAAAGCCAGAACCGTGGTCTTTGGCCTCTGGGATTCTTGGCTTCTTGCCCAGAATGCTTATCTCCTTGATCCTTTCATTAATAATAGATATATGTTCTATGAGAAAAATTATTGTGCAGTGTTATATTCATCACCAATGATATTACTTCTAGTCTATATATACACTCATTAATTTTTTATAAAAAATGTCTATAAATTTTGCCTCAATCTGATGTTATTCGTCCCGTCTGTACTTTCAACTTGTGTAATCATTGAACGAATTAATATTGTCAAGTAAATTATAGATATCATCATTCATAAGTGATGTTGCAAGGAGAAAAAGCCTGTACTTCATTTTCACCATCATGCAGCAGCTAGTGCGAATGCACACATTTGGCCAACTTGACTTCTCCTCGTGACTATGTTTTTTTGTTACTTTAGCCAATAAATAAATAAGTAAATAAAAAATAGAGATCTCTTGAGTTAGATTCTCATATATATATATATATATATATATATCAAACAAACTCTCTAATTTTGTACTAGATATTGATTCCTGTACGGAAGTAATAGGACTGCCTTTGCATATTGTGCATAGCCTCCCCTATATACATACAGAGCAAGTCCTATCCTAATAGAGACCAAAATTCCTGAGTAGCATAATGCATATATTGAGCATATCCTTTTCTTCTCGTGTTTTTTGTAAAAAAATTACTAGTTCTTATGTTGAACATTTATGTAAGAGGGCACTTGGGAAGTCTCCTGAAAGGCAGAAAGTAACAGCAGAACTACATGACCTCTTGTTTGGGCATCCATAATATCGAACTCACCAGCAGAACTACAATACAAAAGCAAGTGTTATGTAAAAAACCTCCAAAAACCAAATAAATGTATACAAAGTATAAAAGTTAAGGTACATATTCTATTGGTAGTGTATATATACCAGCCACGATCTCTTCTTTTTCTGCTTCTTTTCCTCAATATAAGCCGAAAGCTCCTCTTGCTGAGCAAGTGAATTCTCTAAAGCCTGACAAAGAAGAACCATTCGTCAAAAGGAAAATGAGAGAGAGCCTCGGCTTTTTCAAAAACAATAACGATCAGAAATAAGCATTTTGGCTTTTTGTTATAACTGGTTCGGTTCTGCTTATAATTTAATGGAAAAAGTTACATGAATAAATGTGTATATTTACCTTCTTGGTGGCCATAAGTTGTTTCTCCAAGTCATCGGCACGACTTATAGTAGCATACAGCATTTCCTCCTTCTCAGGTGGCATGGTAGGAGACTGATGATTCATGATTTTCATTTTCTCTTCCAAATCTTTCATGCGTTTCATCACAGTCATAAACTCTGTTCTCATCACAGAAAAACGGACAAGTTGGAGTTGAGATGTGAGAAATACTAAAATTATTTTCGGTGATTGTTGGAAAGAATATCTTTAAGATATTTTTATTATTTGTAAATATCTATTTCCTTCTTTCAATAGGATTTGGTTTAGGTCTGGGTTAAGCTCATTAGTGTTTCTTTATATATTGTACTCTCCTAAATCAATTTAAATATACAGATTTATTTTAATGTTCTTCTCGTCTCTTGTTATTTTACAATTTAATTATTTATAATTAATAGATCAGAGACGTTGAGAATAAAAACACACACACACACACACACACACACATATATATATATGGGTTATGATCATTTTACACTAGTATAAGTTACACTCTCAATCTTGTCCGCTGATCCCACTTATATCTAAGGGCTCAAATTTTTTAGTAATGTGAGCAATTGGATACAAGTGGATCAATGGTCAAGATTGAGCGTAAGACTTCTAACTCTTACACGAGCGTAAGAATATCCTGCCCCTGTATATATATATATATATATATATATATATATATTCGAGATATAGATAATATCTTCATTTTAGTTTATTATGTTTGTTATTTTTTTTAGGGTGAGTTGTAGAGTTGTTACAACCCCCATTCGTTTATTTTGATGTTATGTTTCTTAGTCTTTCTTGTTCAAGTTTGTTGCTTATGATTTGAGGGGGAGTGTTGGAAAGAATATATTTAGGATATCTTTATTATTTGTAAAGATCTATTTCCTTATTTCATTAGGATTTAGTTTTGGTCTGGGCTAAGCCTATTAGTGTTTCTTTATATATTGTGCTCTCCTGAATCAATTCAAATATACAGATTTATTTCATTGTTCCTCTTGTCTCTTGTTATTTTACATAGTATCAGAGTTTCAATGTCACGGGTTCAATCCTTATTGCCCCCACTTTCTCTTGTGAAATTTCTTAGCACAGGTAGGCTGGACCTGATGCATCATTTACCTTTTAAGCCCAATGAGCTCTCTTGTGAGAGGGCGTGTTAGAGAATAATATAAATCATTAAAAGGCCCTCACCCAACAGTTTAAGCTTTTGGGTTGAATTGGTCCACAGATTATTCCAGTTACACTAGCTCCGTCGATTTGTATTCTAGTTGTAACATTATCTTTTTTTCAGCCCTTCCTTGGCTGATGTCTATCCCAGCCTTTCCTTGGCTGATGTCTTTTTCTTCCTTTGCTGATGTCATTCCAGCATCGTCTCTTTACCAGCTCTTCAAACTGACGGTCATTCTAGTTAATTTGCTGTCAATTTCTTCGACTTATATTCCGTGAAGCTTCATTTTAGTTTTCTTTCTTTCCAAGATGAAGTGTCCCTCTATCTTGAGGGGGAGTATTCGAGATATAGATAATATCTTTATTATAGTTTATTATTTTTATTATTTTTCTTTAGGGTGAGTTGTAGAGTTGTTACAACCCCTACTCGTTTATTTTGATGTTATGTTTCTTAGTTTTTATTGTTCAAGCTTGTTGCTCAGAGGCGGACCCAGGAGAGGGGCTAGGGTTGGCCACTTCCCTTCCCTAATTTTTAGAATATTTGTTGTACTATATATTATAATTTTGGGCTGAAATAAAATTAATTTTGGATTAAAAAAATTAAGTGATTGGGCTGAAAATTTCAAAAAAACTTAAACAAACACAACTTTAGAAATTGAAATTGTAGTTTTTTCCAAAGGAAAGAGCAAACTTTTAGGGATCAAGAAAAAATTTCAAAATCAGGCACACTTGATTATCAAGAGGGTGGCAAAAATCATTGTCAAGGAAGACAGCAGCAAAACACACAAACAAGGGTTCCAATTTTTTGAGCTAAATATTGGGGAAGGAAAAGAGATTGTCGAATGGAAGATAATAAGACCAGACTCCAAAATTGAATGAAAAACTAATTTCTTGATGATTCTTTGATTACATATGTTGAAAAAGAAATTATTTTGAATTTTAGCACAGATTCTATTATAGAAGAGTTTAATAATATGAAAAAACATAGAGCAAGAGTTAAGTGAATTGACCTTAAATTTTATAATAAAACTCTTTAAAACTTTTTATATTAGGTTCATATATGAGTGTATCTACTTTTCTTAATAATATAAAAAAAAATTCGCCCCCCTCTATAAAAATTTCTGGGTCCGCCACTATTGTTGCTTATGATCTATACCCTCCAGCTTGAGGGGGAGTGTGGGAAAGAATATCTTTATGATATCTTTATTATTTGTAAAGATCTATTTTCTTATTTCATTAAGATTTAGGTTAGGTCTGGGTTAAGCTCATTAGTGTTTCTTTATATATTGTACTCTCCTGAATTAATTCAAATATACAGATTTACTTCAATATTTCTCTCCTCTCTTATTATTTTACAATGTACAAAGGATTACGATATATAAAATGAATGAAAATAAATCTTAACAGTCTCTTATGATGAGGGAAACTAATCTATCTAATGAAAGAGAATCAAATCAAATCAGAATTAATCACAAAACGAACACCTCATCATTTACAACAATTGGCACCAATGAGGTTTTTGGGCATGTTTCGTGTCCCACTGACCATGGTGACAATACCCATTATAAAGGCCATCATTCCATTCAATTCACGAATTTAAAAAAGAAAAAGAAAAAAGAAAAGAAGCATGTAGGATGATTTAACTAATGAATCCATGTCGTGAATTCTTATTAAGAAGCATACTTACTGCTAAAATGAAATACATTTGGCAGAGAATAGAGTCAAATCTTAAAATAAATAAAATTTTATCCACCACATACCTTCTGATGCTGCAGCTGTGTCAATCTGGTCGACTTTTTTCAAAGCAGTTTTATCGGCCACCGGGATTGAGTCCTCTTGCTTGGAAGCTTTAATAGCAGGGACCTGCGAAGCTTATGTTTTTCATAAAGTTAGAAATGAGGGATACAATGAGCGTTAGCATAAACAAATACTTCATAGATAATTAAACTGAAAATTCAAAAAAATTCTCTTTATTTAATTTTTGTTTACATTAGAACTACTAAGATTTTTTTACATCCTTCATTATGTCCTGAAAGCTTCCTATTCTTAACAAGGTTAAGAATGGATATTAACATACCTCTTCACAAACTGGAGAAACCTGTGAGGTGAGATTTTCCTCCACCTTGGAAGTCTCGTGTTCCTAAACATGCTCATTAATTAGTTCAAATGTCCATAAATGACAGAAAGCACTAAGAGTTGCTATAAAATCAAAATTATTTTGAACAACTATAGCATTTGCAGAGGCACAATTAAATGGAAGCCCTATGTATTATCAAAGATTAACAAAGAGCTTAGAATGAGCTATCTCACCTCTGAAACTACTTTCTCTTCCTCAACACGAGACTCACTTTTTCTTGAACATTTGTGATCACCATTCTGAACCATCTGCAATTCCATAATACGTATGTTTAGGAATCCATACAAGGGACATAAATTATCAGCTAAATCATAAATAGAAAAGCAAGTGAAAAAAGAAAAAAGGATTGCAGGCCCACCTTCATTATTTCAATATCATTCCATGGGCCCTTATCAGAGCGCATACATCCTCCTTGATCAGCACATGTACAAGTACCTCCTAAAAACTCAGGCAACTCACTGACAAAGCAAAATTACCAATGAATGTGTGAAGCTTCTCAATATCCTTAATTTAGTCAATGTAATAGGAAGACTTTAGATGGAGAAGAAAGAAAATGAGGAGTGAAAAAAAAATTGGATCGAAACTACTCATGAAATAAGAAAAGGATCAGATGCTGCTATATATTCAATCTAGTCAGGAACTCACCTTGCATCAATTATCTCAAGCAATTTAGTGTCATACTTGTTGCCAAGAACCTGATGAATTATAAATTTCAGTGACAATTCTGTTTTCCTGAGAAAACAAACAGATTTAGGGTAAGGTCTATATGCTCACATGGATTTTTGCTGTGGTCTTAGGATCAAGGAAGGATTTTACGGTGTTCCACAGTATTCTAAATCCAGAACCTGCATTGATGATGAACATGCGATTCAAGGTCTGCAGTGAACCAACCAATTTCATGATATTACTTAGTACTCCATGATATTTATTCACAATAAAAAACATTTTCCCCATAATTCTAACCAAAATAGAAAAAAATAAAATAAAATAAAAATAAATACCTCTGGATAGTTGTCACCGTCAATCTTCTGAAGGTTAGTAACGAGTTCCCTAGCATTTTTGGTGAAGCTTTTAAGCCCCTGTAGCATTGATAAATATTGAAGTTTCAGCAGCTTTTGATAATTTTCCCCTTATTATAGATATCAAGGTTCATTTTGTGTCACTAAGATACTATTCTAGACTCTCGTATGCTATTTTAAAGGCTGTGACGTGTGAAACCAATAAAGATTGTACATTTTGTACTTATCTGCTGAGCCATGTTCAATTGCCTAATTTTTTATTTATTTATTTTTTTTTAAATTATGACTTTAATCTTGACATATATAAATACATAATTAAACTATTTATCATGCGTACCACTCCCTGCACATCCAGGATAGTTGTGCTTTGATCGATGTGCTTCTTAGCAGCAATCGAACAAGCTGCAAACTTTATATCAAATGTCCTCTCAAATTCCTTTACATGGTATTTGATATAGCGGTCCATGGTTGTGACTTGCATTAGCTTGGTGGCATCTACTTGTCCCAATCTCTCTATGTATACAGGTCGTCCTTCTTTGTCTACTCCATGATGTCCTTGGGGATAATATTTTAAGACTTCGTCAATTTCCTTGAATTCAAAGTCCTATAAATAAAAGGCACAAAAAAGAGAGAGTAAAAGATAGAAATTAATAATAGCATAGTCAAAATTCAGATTTTAGGTAAAATCGAAAAAATGATAAAAAAATTATAAAAACATAAAATCGTAATGATAAATTGAGATTTTAACTATAATGAGATAAATCCCCTCAAATCTCACAAAACATTGTCGTTACAATTACCTCCGTAATAGAATCAGCACCAAATTCCTTTCTCCATTTGATCATGTCAGACCACATTTGCTTTGTTTTCTCAAGATCAAATTTCCTGGCCTTCAGGAATCTATACAGCAAAATACAAGAATAATAACGTAAGAAAATATCAGGGTCTTACTTAATTTAATCAGTGACATGATATTTAAGAATACAGATTAATCAAACATGCAAGTCGTGTGATAGACTAAAAGGCATAGCAAGAAAATTGACCTTAGCATCATGTGATAATCATCATGATTTGCAGGGAGTAGGTCGTCGGATATAAGAGCTTGACGGAATTCATCAACTGCTTTCAACTCCTCAGCATCGTGAACATCCTCAATTTCAACTGACATGACCTTGCTACTTCGCCTACCTTTTTTCGTCAAAGAATTCCTAAACATGTTTGAGGCATTGATTGCTTTCTTCTTGAAAGAACCTACAACATCAGACTTTTCAAGATCTACATGCATACAATTAATTAACAATATTGAAGAAAAAAAGGTTAAGGAATCGACGTGAAAATGAAAACGCCCAGCCTTACAATAAATAACAAGTTTACCTTCAGACATGGCGTCGCTTGGGTTGATTGCTTATGCTGGCTTTTCAGGAGTTGAAGCAAAGGATTAGAAGAATCAAGCACTCATATCATACAGGGCACAAAACAAAAAAAGCACTCCCAAATTCCCTGCCTGCAACCCCGCCAACCAAATAATTCATTAGACACACAACAACATCCACAACATATTTATATATTTACCATTGCATTCCTTTTCCTACATTATATTATATCAACCAAAAAAGAAAACAAAAAAAGGAAAAACAAAATATAGGAAATGAAAGAGATGTATCCAAGGAGATATGCATTAGTAATGAAAGGAACAAAAATGGTTATTGCCAAAACAAACGGAAGGGAAGGGAAAGAAAGAAAGGCATGAAGGTGAATATTTACCTCTTGAATGCGAAGGGAAGCAGGGAGAAGGAAAGAGAGAGTGGTTACAGAAGAGGGGGTTAATGTAAATCGGTGATCTGAAAATAGGTAGTTCTAGAAAATGGGTAAGAGACAGCAGTGATGCGCCGTTGACAACGCTGACCAAGTCTCAGCAAGACCGCGAATCTCTCTGCAATTCAGGATTAGCATATACGATAAAATATAACAGAGATAAAATCAGGGGATAGAGGTTTGGTTTTGGAAATGCACGTCTTATGCACGAAAAGAAAGAAAGAAAAAAGTAAATGGCTAAATTTTTATAATGTAAGGGAGCGTTTGGTACAGGAGAAATTTTTTTTTGCTGGGAACAAATATTTGTTGGAAAAAAAGTGGAAAGTTTTTTTTACCGGGTAAGTTAAAAAAAGTGTTTGGTAGGCCAAAATTTCACCGGGAAAGTTAGATGAATTTTACAGATATTATGTTTGGATGATGGTAAAATATTGATGGGAAAAAGTACCAAAATTACCTAATAACCCCCAATTTGAAAATTGAATGTGTTTGTCATAAAAACGTTATTATTTGACAACTGGGTTGTGTGTCTCTCTTTTACACGTATCTTTCTTTGTATACATTTTTGCCCAATAAGACATAACAAATGTTGAATAAATAAATGTGCAGTCTTATATTACATAACCCCTTTACTAATTAACAGTATGAAAAAGGTCATTATATGGCACTACCCGTATGAAAAACGTTGATCTCAGAAACTGAAACTAAAACTGGTTGAAACTTGCATATTCTGCATAATTGAAGTATACAAATAAACCATAATTACAAAAGCCAATGGACTTGTAAGTCATGGTTACATATCCTTCATATAATGTAAAGCATAAAACAAAAGCATCTGCTAGATACATTATTTCAATTTCACCAGGTTGGTATAGAACCGTAACAAAAGATGTCTCAGCTGTTCTTTTCTGATTAAATTCAACTATTGACAACTATCTCCTTTGCCAAAGCCGCAAGTCATACACAAAAAAAGGATAGGAGTTGGGAACGGATACAACATGCAGTACTCAGTCGTAGCCACACCAGAGAGCACACAAAATGGAAGAATAAAGCATGGGGTATTTTTGTCTTGTAAATTTCAGTTTTTGTTCCCACCGCATGGGAAAGAATACTTACCATACCTTTGGACGGAAACTTTAATAAAGAAAACAAGTGCAAATGTGTTTGACAGCTAAAAATGTTTCCAAATCAATTTTTAACTTTTCCACGTACCAAACACAGCCAACTTTTTTCCCCACCCCACTCTCCTGGCTAAATATTTTTTTCCATCCTACCAAACACCCCCTAATGTTATTCATGTATATTTGCACGTACATCACCTCACAACACCCTAATTAGCTAATTATCAAGTGTATTTAATAAAAAAATTAAATATACTTAATTATCAATTTACTTAATTCGTTACGACTATTTCTTTTTAAATTGATAGTTAAATTTATAATTAATTTCATAATGAATATTAGCAAGATATTTGATAATAATAACTCAATTTAACGCACATTGTATACCAAATCATATGACTTTTTGAGATCTACATAATGAAACCTTATTTGGCATTTCTCACAAATTTTGTTCAAATTTATAACAATGGTATAAAAAATAATTAATATATTAATGTACAAATCACAATTAATGTACTCATCATCAATCAAAATTATTGTACAATCAAAATTAATTATGATTGGTACATTAATTGTGATTCGTGATTGATACATTAATCGTGATTGATGATTGATATGTCAATTGTGATCGGTACATTAATTAAATAACCCTTTTTTCCTTTTTTTATTTTAATTTTTTGACTGTGAGTGGTACATTAATTCTGATCAGGTAATGAGATTATGCGACATAGCGCACCAAGTGCCACATATCTTTTTTTTAACAAAGTTTTTTTTCAAATTCTTCTTCAAATTTTAACTACTTTGTTTTTATATATTAAATTAGAGGGAGGTTATACTTACAACTTTTTTTTTACAATCTCTTACAACGGTTATTATTTTCGTACATTAAACTCATTAATTAATTATTAATTCACAATAAATGATAAATTATTAATTCACAATAAACTCATTAATTAACCGTTAATTCACAATAATTAATTATTCCATTCATATTTCATTCATCTTAGGATTAACGATTTTCAATTTTTATTCATCGAATTGGCAACTCATTATTAACATAAGCAATTACACAGTAAATGACTTATTCCTATTTTAATACCCCTAACTTAAATAATTTAATTAATTACTTTAAATTAAGTAATTAAGCATGTATTAGTGAGTAAAATTAAGTATAGGGCCTAATTAAGTGAATTGGGGTCACTTTTGAGGTAAAAAGTGTAAAATATATATATATATATATATATATATATATATATATATATATATATATATATAGGGGTAGGATCCTTTGACACCAGTGTCAAATTTGAAATTTGACACCTCATTTGATAGTCGTTAGATAAAAAAAGATCAACGACTCTGATTTGTAAGCATGTGACACCATTAATCTTTTTTGATCTAAGGGCTATCAGATGAGGTGTCAAATTTCAAATTTGACACCGGTGTCAAAGGATCCTACCTCATATATATATATATATCAAGGAGAGTTCAATGTTGGAAACTTCGCTGATGTGTCACTCCCTGCTTAATTCTGAAAATTGTGTTCACACTACATGGCATACAAAAACTTTCCTTCTTTGGTAAATTAGAAAAAGAATTTCTTTTTTAAATCAAGAAATAAATGACCATTTGTGGTGGCAGACAAGGCATTGAATGTCCCACTGCCCATCACATTGGAATTGGTCAACTGATTAATTGCTTTTTACATTAGAATTTTAAAATTCTAATTTTGATTGCTCATTTAATTAGAATGACTCATCTGATCTAAAATTCGAATTTTGAAATGGAATGACTCAGCTGTTTTAATTACTCATATGATCTAAAAATTTCAAATTTTGAAATGGAATGACTCATCTGTTTTAATTGATTTTTACATTGGAATTGCTCATCTGATCTAAAATTCGAATTTTGAAATGGTTTCAAATTTTGAATTTAAAATATGGATGGTGGGAAAAGATTTGGAGAGTTTTGGGTGGCATTCATTTTGTATAAATAGAGAAGTTGTGTTTCTTTTTTTCTTTTTTAGCTTGCCTACGATTTCTTTCTTCATTTCTGTTTGTAGGGGTTGTTGTGTTGGTATTATTTTTTGTTTTCTTTGGCTTTCTCCGATTCGTTTCATATTTTAATGGAAGGTCCTTCTTCTGCAAACGTGTCAGGATTGAGGAAAGTGTTTGTTGATCTTTGCAATGCTATCTTCTTATAAACAAGACGTATATAATCTTTACGATTCGTTTTCTTTTTTTTTATACTAATTATCTTTTTTTTCATTTTGTAGGGCAGAAGTTTTAATCGTATTTCATTCTGTGTTCTTGCCTACGTTTTTTTTCCTTCGTTCGTATGTGTAGCGGATGTTGTATGATTATTATTTTTGTTTACCTTACAAACAAGTTGCTATGAATTCGTGTTCTGTTTTTTGTATACTAATTCTCTTTTTTTCGTTCTGTAGGGCGAAAGGTTTCGTCGTATTTCATGTTGAGTGGTTCTTGCCTACATTTTTTTTTCTTCGTTCATATGTGTAGCTAATGTTATATTATTATTATTTTTGTTTATTTTATAAACAAGTTGCTATGAATTAGTTTTCATTTTTTGCATACTAATTCTTTTTTTTCGTTTTGTAGGGCAGAAGGTTTCGTTGTATTACATGTTTTATGGTTCTTGCCTACATTTTTTTCTTCGTTCATATGTGTAGCTAATGTTATATTATTATTATTTTTGTTTACTTTACAAGGAAGTTGCTCTGAATTAGTTTTCATTTTTTGTATACTAATTCTTTTTTTTTTCGTTTTCCAGGGCTAAAGGTTTCATACTACTGTGATTAGTTATTTACGCAGTAAACGCTCTCAATGTTGCGTAGTATTTTCCTACGTTTTTTTGCTACCCGATACAAAAATAAAATGGTAATCAATGGAATAAAATGTCAACGGATGAAGAGTTTAAAATTTATCTGCATCGATGGTCCTTCTTCTACAAACGTGTCAAGATGGAAGAAAGGGTTTGTCGATCTTTGCTGCAAAAGTTGCAAGGATTTTGTAAGGCTTCCTGGGGATATTTTTTTGTATTCTGCGAGTTGTAGATATATTTTCTTCGTGCTTGATAATTTAAGAATGTCTGTGATGACGATTTGGGATTATTATTTTTTGTTGTTGTTGAACTATATTTAGAAATTAATCGCTGAAGCTGTTCTTGAATATTTTTAATTTGTGTGATGTTATGTTGCATCTGTGTGGTGTTCAATTATGGTGCATGATGTTTGAATTTGTTATAATCTAAATATTGGAATTTGTTGATTTTTGAAGCTTGCAAACCTTGTGTGGATCAGGGGCATGCACTCCATTAGGAACTGACATGTATACCTCCTCAGAAAGGTCACCATGGAGGAAAGCATTGTTAATATCCAGTTGCTCTAGACACCAGTTGCGAGAGATGGCCACTGCTAGGAGAAGTTTGATAGTTGTGGGCTTAGCAACAGGTGAGAAGGTCTTAAAATAGTCAACACCTTCCATTTGATTATACCCTTTCACTACTAAACGAGCTTTGTAACGAGCTATAGTACCCATTTCGATCCAATTGGTCGTTTCCCTGTAGGTAGATCAACAAAGGTCCATGTTTAGTTTCAGTTGAGTGCCTCAATTTCTTCATTCATAGCTTTTATCCACTCATTGGATTGAGAAGCTTGCTTATAAGTGGTTGGTTCAATAAAATCACTAATGTTATGACAGAAAGATGAGTACTTGTTATCAAAAAAAAGAAAAAGATGAGTACTTACTTGAACATTTCTCATATGAAATTACAGAAGAGAGAGGATACAAACATGTTGATGTGGTGTTAGATATCTGTTTTGCAATGGAAGACAGATTGCAATGGAAGTCTTGCAGGTGTTTTGGAGGCATCCTTGCTCTAGTTGAACGTCTAGGAATGTATTCTGTAAGTGGAGCATCTACAGGT